AGACAACCCCGTAACAATATGCGTTTTGTACTGCTGTTACACAGCACAAAACGCATAAAAACAAAGAGGATGCCGATATCGGACAGAGGTTCACCAACATATTCAAGCAAATGTTGTAGCCAGTAGCATACTTCATAATGATCTGGGAATGATCAATCCCCTCAAAAAAATCAGTCAGGATGTTCAAAATTATACGAAGAATGTAAAAATCTATTTGGTTTTTACATCTGAGGAAAGTTTTCTTCAGCTGAGACAATCCCATTCGAACATGGAGTACGATGGGCATAGTTTGCTCCAAATCAGACAAAAGCAAAACAAAGTTAGGTGTCGAGTGATCGAAAGTACACCGAGCTGTTCAAAGTATTTTACAATAAAAAGTGCAGTCGCTGGAGCCAGTAATTCCCAAGTGCGAAAATACTATAATAACAGAATTCTTACTTCAACTTCATTGCCCCTCTTAACTAAAATTTCCTTAACTCTTAAAAAAAACATCGCTTCTTAGGCGAAAAGCCGTTCTGATGGGCGGATATGAAGTGCGAAACGCGGTTTTACAGCTCCACAGACGCACCAACTCTGTCATATTCCTATGCAATCAGTTTGGCTTTCTTCGCTAAAACTTCATTGTCTGCGGCTAATTCTTGACAGGCAAGCTCCATTTTGTAATTTTTGGTGACCATCTGTACCCAGTTCTGTTCCAAATCCTTCAGCTTCATTCCCGCTTCCATTTGGCTTTTGCGTCGCCTCGAGTGAATTTCCATCACTTCTTCCCGGAGCTGCAAAACCCAAATAAACTGTTTTGTGAAATGAACAAAACAATGAATGCGCATAAGTTTGATATCCTGTTCGAATTTGTAAGTAGATAGATTTAATCAATGGCAAGTTGGAAACAAAACCTCAAGATTACGATTAAAATTTTTAGCAATCCTGACGGATTTATCAACCCAATTAATATAAAAAATTATCGAAAAAAATGAGATAGGCGTTACAATCCAATAACAGTTATTGTAATTTGCTTTTAAACAATTCTTGCCACCTATGTTAGTGGCGACTAATGCCGTTTATCAAAATCACCTTCCCCTTCACCTCCTCACCCCCATCGATGTAGCCCCGCGAAAAATTGGCATTTGTTAAAACGACAGAGAATATGTACGAGAAAATCTGTGCTCCAGCAGGTGCATACAGGACCAGTAATAGAGTGGTCTAGCAGGCCCCGTCCGAATGTGAAGATCAATGGTTTGATTCTCTCCCGTTTTCAAAAAGAGGTTCGATTTCGCCAGATTCCCTCTCCTCTCTCCCTGATCCCCCACTCACCTCCCTTCCCTAGCTGAACATCAATTCCCTGCTACATTTCTGTACGTGGTTTAAGAATTGAGGGACGCCTATGAAGAAGCACATCTCAACGTAAAAGGCATGCCTTTCTTAGCTGCTTTTCTTCGCAGTGCAGCAAAGTTTCGAGTTCCTTGTTGTATCGAAGATAAACGGCTGGCGCATATTCTTCCATGAGCTGCAGATTGACATTTCGCAAAAGCAGGTGCTCATTTTGCGCGGCAGCATTACGAATAGCCTAAAATAGATCAAGAAACTGTTGTGCGAAACCGATATTGCGGATTTTGAAATGATATCCAGGCGATCTTAAAAGCACACTCGCACACCCGCAACTCTTAAAAGAACACTCATTTCTAAGTGCTAAGCTCATCACATTCACTTCATGTAGCTGCTGATCAACTTCAACAGCTACACGAAATAGATGCGATGAGCCATCGTGGTAAAAGAATGGCTGTACCCGAACTAGTAATGCATAAAACACACACAAAAATATATGCAGCCGAAGTGGCAAAAGCCAAGTGCTTCTGTCGTCGAGGGCACCGCTAAGCTGACAAAGCTTTCAGATGACGAAATAGACATCAGAATTACTAGCAGATCGACCAACAACGGATGTAGCATAGGTCAAGAAAAAAAATTAACAGCCACATAACTTTAGAAGCAGATCGTGAATTACAGCGATTTATAGCGCATTGATTGGAGTAGCAGTCAGTGAAACGGCTGCTGTTTTTTTTTTTTTGAATTCTAGTGAGTTCCAAGATAGTCTCAGCAGGTAATGAGTTCGAATTAAAGATAAGCAATATAATGCAAAAGTACCTTTCGCCACGAGGTTTTATCACCTTGACGTCCAGTAGTTGACGGACAAGAAAGTTCGCAACGAGACATATCCAATTTCGGCATTTCCTGAAACAAAAAAATACAATCCTCGAAAAAAGTATCAACGACCATCCCCTTTTCCACCTCTTTCTCTTCCAAAAAGCTTCATAATCGCTTACTGAGATATTTAGAGGAGCAAAGAGTTGTTTAGGGAA